GTGCTACCCCCATAGGCTTGAATGACTAGTCGTACTTCTGATCCAGAATGGCGTCTCCATAACATAGCCAGACCGAGTTATAGTTCCAGGCAGCACCCATAGGCTAGATCAGGATTCGAAGTCCGCCGTACTTTAGAGACACTAAAGCGTAGTAATCCTTTCACGGATATTAATGATTTATGTCTTTTTCATTAGGTATATCCTGACATTAATGCTGCCGTCGTCATTACGTGAAACTGATTAAATAAATTCTGTACGATTCGATGCATTTGGGAGCCGCCATACACCCCTCATTCGTTTAATCTGACTCTTACTAAACTGATGACGGTAACCACAAAACGCATCCACGCTTGAACAAACGTCAATGGCGTCGAAGTGTTTATGCTATTCTGAATGAAAATAAAGCTAACACGGCTATTCATCAGCGTCTACGAATATTAAGGGCCTGTATGAAGGAGATCATCACAATGGGAGAAAGGTCCTGCACATAAAATTCATTAAACTGCTACTTGTTGAATCCTTAGTCCATTGTATCCTGTGGCTGCGAAAGTTGTACGGTCATAGCGTTGAGCTCAAATCCATTGAAACTTTCAAAAGTTGGCGTTCCAGATGGCTGCTGCGACTCTCTTGGGTGGACTTGAAATTCAGCACGATTGTTTTAAACCAACTTAAGATTGAAGAGAATATCATTTGGAGAAGAGAAAGGCATTTATGACGTTTTGGTCGCATTATGAAAATGAAAGCCGACAATCTCAAGGAAATAGATACGGTTTGTTTACAAGTTCGAAACGGAAGGGCACAATCTACATGATGTTTTACGAAAAGAATCGGATGTTTCAAAGCCACCATTTTAACCAACGCTGTTTGGGCTCGGGTCTGTGGTTGCTGTTAGCGCTTAGTGCTGCATCGCTGTTTTGTAACTCTGTCTGGACTGTTGTCATCTACCTCAGTCATTTGACTTAGCGCATCACATCAGTGTGAAGCCCTGTGTAACTGAAGTGCATTGCCGTTCCAATGAGGTTATTAAATCAGCGCGCAGTCCCCTGTTCGCGAATTTGAATTTATGTTAGCGTATGGTCATCTGTGCGATTTAATTGGCTTCACCCGTTGCTTGTCAATCTTTGTTAGCGCAATACGATGCCGTTTTCAAACTTGTGAATTTCGAAGATTCCATGATATTTTATGGCTTCGTCTTGGTGGCTGCTCCAGGGCAATAAGTCGGGAAGTTGTCATTAGTCGAGAGTTGAAACCTCTGCAGAGATTTTCTTCAGTCCGTTTTTGTTTCCTTTCATCGCACCGCATGTCGATGAATAGTTCTCTATGAACTTCCGTGATCGTTACAGTGTAAACGTTAGTCGAAAATGCGAAGTTTGACATTGATATTTGTAGCGAGTTTCACATGATGCTCACAGAGACTTCTCGAATAATTCATGACGTGAGGGATGAAATCAAGTGATGGATTCATATCACCACCTGCCAATTATGTAAACTCTGAATCCCGATTAATTGACTTTGCATTGACTTAGTGACCTCGCTCAACCACCACGATGGGCCATAACATAAAATGAAAATCTTCGAAATTTAAGTTTGTCAACGCATGGCATTGCATTCGCAGAAAGTTTTTCATTTGTAAGCAACGTGAGCGATTAAGTCAAAAAATTCATTCAAATGACTATCTGTTAATGATATAGATGTAGACTCGTGACCGCAGGACTGCATGCTGATTTGATGATCTCGCAAGGTCACCATTATAGAATTGTAATCAGAAATTAACAAGTGTTAGAAGCATATCGTACTTGACTCACAGAGTGTTTCCCATCGATATATAACATGCTAAATCAAACAGATGAGGCATATGGCCACCGTCCAGCTGCAAAGCAGCAACCGCTCATGACACCAGCCGCAGAAAAGCGCCCATATAGCATTGAACAATACGTAAAGATCGTTTAACGGACAACGTCATAGTGCACACTGGACACGAGTTAAAATCGTTATCGTCACAAAAATCATGCAAGATCGGAAGATTCGCTGCAGGATAATACGTTATATTGTCTATCCTGCATACAGAAGATTAGCTTTGTAGATGATTCAACAACACCCTCAATGTGCCATGTTTGGTTTTCACTGAAGCAGGTACAGTTTGAGTTATGTGTTAGTTATAACCTTGACAAGGCATCTCCATGTTGACGACTTCTGGAAACTGTCGATATACAAAAATTACAACACATGTTTAGAATCTTTCTGCGTTTGCAAAATAAGCCTGTTGATGAACATGCTATTCTCTTTACAAATGAACCTGATACTAACTCTAGAAAATGAAAAGAAATTGTGCTTGCATTTATTCGAGTTTTTAAACAGGGAAGAGGTTTAACCATACCTTATGTTTCTAAATTGAACTGTCAGTTTGTATTCATTTATAATTTTTTGCGTTGCTTAAAAAAAATTCTTCATGAAATTGTCTTCATCTTACAACTTCACCCATTGTAGCCGCGATCATCGCTCTCGAGGTGTTCTGCACCATCCTCGGCAAGTTGTTTGAACCTTTCGTCGTACACATGCTCTCTGATTTATTGCTTTGTTTTGGCGATCAGGATCTTCATGTTCGAAAGGTAGAGGCCGTTTTTTTGCTTCTTTTTTTCTGTCATTTAGGCTATGCACTTTTGTAATTTCAGGCCGCAGACGATTGTGCTAAAGTGATCATGAAAAACTTGAGCGCACCGAGCGTTAGGTTGATCTTGCCGACGTTACTGAAGGCGATTGATGACGACTCTTGGCGGACAA